GACCAGGAAGCCCGGGGAGTTTCCACTACCAGGGATAATTTGACAGGGAGTGGGAAAAAAATCGTTCGGTGAGGAGCAGTGATGTGCGAGCCCTTGCTCTCCATCTCTGCTGGCCACAGAGTGAGACCCGGAACATTCCATTCGTTATTCTGTGCTGAGGGTTCTTCCACTGTCATTAACCAGAATGCCAGTGCAGACCACAGGGTTTACCTTCACTGTGAGGTTAGATGTGCCGGAATCAGGTCCCTGGCAAACACCCCGTAAATATTTGCTGAACCCAGATGGAAATGATGCTGCAAAGAGAAAAATCTCAGATCTGAGTTTAAATAACAAACGCTCTCAGCTTGTGTTTGCTGCATCCGCGAGTCTATTTTCATACTTATAAAACAGGGAAATATTACCCTGCATGTAGCTACATAGGACGTTATTGAAACAATCACCTAAAATCAAAAGGCCTGAGGGCTGGAGAGCTAACTCAGTCATCAAGAGCGTACTGTCCCAGAGGGCCCCGGGTTCGATCCCCAGTACCTACATGACTGCTAGCAGTCATCCCTGACTTCAGCTCCAGGGACCCTGGTGCCTCTTCTAGCCCGAGGGTACCGTTCTAGCACATGGTATAGACATACATGCAGATAAAATGCCCAGATACATAAAATAAAAATAAATTGGATCCTGGCAGTGGCGGCGCACACCTTTAATCCCAGAACTCAGGAGACAGAGGCAGGCAAATCTCGGTGAGTTTGAGGCCAGCTCGGTCTACACAGTGAATTCCAGGACAGCCAGGACTGTGACACAGAGAATCCCTGTCTCGGAAAAATAAATAAATAAATAAATAAATAAATAAATAAATAAATAAATAATGTGTCAAAACCTGAGTCTTCTGTGTAGATTTTATTCAAACGTGTCACAAAACGCTAATTATTTTTGATATGTGTTGTCATACATGTTCTAGTTGTTTGGATATTTAGAGCAAAAAAATAAAATAAAAGGCTCACATCGCTTCCTTCCCTGTAAGACTTTTCCTTTCTGCTCTAGGTTCAAGTGGAGTAGCTGCTCCCATGCCTTAGGGACTTAGATGAACCCTCACACAGAATCTCAGAGCAGATGAACCTCGCTCATTAGAATACTCACTGTCCCAGCGCTGGGGCACGTTTAGAGGTGAGAAAGATAAAAAGTATTTCTTGCTTAAGCCGAGGATTTCCCAGAAGGTAATGGGAAAGGACTCTAAATCAAGGTTAAAGAATGAATACATTACCTGTTTGATGTTTGCCTATTGGCGGGTCTTACACGTTAGGAAGAAAGCAATATGTTTGGGGAGGTTCGCATTTAAAATCAGTTATGAACAAAATCTGATGGCACGGGTGTTTGTATTAGATAAGCTCCCCCAAAGCCCAATTCTCAAAGTCAAAAGTTTTACATTTTCATTACTTTTCTACCAATATTTAAAAATAAGTAAACAATAAATAAAGCCAGGCTCGGCAGTGGCTGCCTGTTGACCTGGGCATCTTGGTCAATTGCCATAAACGCGGTGGGTGTCCTCTTCACACTAAACCAACAGAAAACACACTACTCAGGAGGAAAACTGCCTCTCCGGACCCACTTTCTACCCTCTTGCAGATCCCCAATACTGATTCCCAAAGCAATTTCACTAAACCTACTACATCTAGTATCGCCCCCTTCTGGCCAATCCTCCGCATAGCCTCTGCAAGTGCAGTAATTTTTAAAAACCTTAGGTCTTGGACAGTGGAAGAGATCTTAGACTACCATCTCTCTGCTGAGGCCGACTGTGACGCACAGGCCCTTGTATTACCTTTAAATGGGCTTTTACAATGAGTTGCGGTTTCAGACAAGTGTGTGCTTATGGAATCCCATTGTGTACTGTGACCCTTCTCAGTCCTCCCTTAATTAGGCTGAGGGCAAGGGCTTCATCCCAACCAATGGGTGCCCGAGTCAGTGCTTTTCGGAGACAATGGGTGCCCCCGAGGTAGGTTTAATGACCCTAGTGGCCACAAGTCCCCCTGACATAATGACATGAAAGCAAGCTGTTCCACACACATAGATCTGAGTGGAACATAAATAAGCCTGTTTCCTATTACATCATGAATATTGGAATTTCTTTGTAGTCAGGGCCCTCAAGTTAAGAGGTTTCACATCCAATGTCTGGTCGCTCTCTTCTCTTTAGGGGCTCCTGGATATCGGAAGCTGTGGTGGGGCATTAGAACGGAGACCCTGGGCTGTGACTGATTCCTGTGACAACTGCATACAAGGGGACTTGTTTCCTTTCCTCCCCATAGTTCTGTCCTTCTGCCTCGGCTTCTGTGCATTCGAGTTTGCGCCCTCTGGTCTATCAGTGATAACGCAGTCTCTTGAAAGGTTCATGACATATAAACCCGTCTTGATTTCTCCCCAAGGTCTTACACCTCACCACCAACTCCACCACTATTGCCCAGCCTGTGCTAGCTCAACAACGTCACAGAACCCCAGCTTCCATATATATACCTGTGGGCACTCCCATCTCTGCCTCTAGAACCCTTGCGGTCCCATATCCTATAGATGCTCAATTTTTCAGTATTGTCTACTGCTTTGCTGCCTTGGGAAATCTCCCAAGTCCTTCTTTTTTTCCTCAGTCAGGAAAAATCCCCCCATTGTGGTTACTCAACGCTTTGCCCTGTCTTATTCAGCTGACCCTCAGGCCATAGCCTACACAGGTGCATCCCCTAATGAGTTTGCTGCTGGATTATGGTTCTTTTTCCGACTTCAGAGTGATATGTGTGCATGACAAGGATCTGATGGCACAGAAATGCTCAAGTTGTAATGGCAGCAGCATCTATTCATGCAACTTGTGATTTTATTCTGATGTTGGCTCCCACTGGTCTAGGTCTGGGCTTAAAACTTTTTTTTCTTGGTTTCTTGTTTGCTTCCCTTCTCTCTGTATCTCCCTGCTTTTGACAGCACCATTGTTATGCTCTAAGTTCTGTCGGCTGCTGGAACTCTAAAAATAAGCTTAAAATCACTATTCCTTTGGATGGTGGTTATTACACGCATCTCTCCTCCGTGTCTTCCTCTCCACCTCCATGGCTTCACTGTGCAAGTGACATCTTATTGTTGCTAAAAATGTTCGTATCTGCATTATATTCCTCATCTTAATATAGTCATATGTGACCTATTCAATCTCAGTTTCTTGGTTACAATTGAAAAAAAAAGATACCCATCCCCCCCCTCAAACACTCTTATTTCTATCTCCTGATAGAAATGCCTTCCTTTCGGCCCTTTGATGTCTGGCTTCTCCTGTATCTGGAAGGCTCTCAGCCAACCCCTCTCCTTTCTCTCAAGCTTCCTTTCCTATTTCCTAAATCATCATGAAAGAAGGGTAGCAGAGAGCTGACTCAGGGACTGTCCCAGCAGTCTGTGTGTGAAAAGAAATATAGTCTTGCAAGCTAAGTAAATCAAGAGGCAGCATTTTTCTTTATGGACACAGATTAAACTTAATGAGCTGAATTAGTAAATCCAGAAATGGGCCTGTCTTGGAGCCAAGACTATCATTTTTGCAACAAAGAGATATTTTTAAAGCATCATTCTTTAGATTTTACAATCAAAACCTCCAAGCTTTCAGAAAAAAACTGCCTCTGCACAGGAAGCACACAAAAACAGAATCCCCCTGATTTTCTGAAATAGCATCAGATCAACACAGAAAGGTAAGAGTCTTGCGTTCCATTCAGATTTTAAAAATCTTATCATTTTTGACTGTACAACCTCAAGTAAATTAGTCTAATACTGCTAAGCTTCTCTAATAACCAGAGAAGTTTGTGTGAGATAATTTTCCAAGTGACTTCCAGCTCTAGTAGGCAATGTGTCACTCTCTAGCAATCACTCATTCATGCCCTCATGGATAAAGGGACTCTTTGGTGGCTTCTTAGTGAACACGTGTTGAGTATTTGGAAGGATGAGTATACGGATGGGGAGAAATCAGGTATATTTCACTAGGCCTTCTTATTAGAAAAAGAATTATCAGGGGCAGATAGGTGTGTATGGCAGTTGTCTAACAGGTCCCGGGGATAGATCAAGGATTATGGCTGCTGTATGTAATGACAGAGAAATAAAAAGATAGGGTACAACCCTGAAGGCAGTTGTAGAGGGTTGTATAGTCTTAATGAAAACTTAAGCAGACAAGGACATGGTCTTGTTGGGTTTTCTCCAGACATACCTACCAAGCAGAACATGTCTTAGAAATAGAATCTAAATGGAAGTAGCTGTGGTTTCTGTCACAAGACCTACACAAGATCAAGCCAGTCAACATTACAGCATGAACTCCAAAGCCCCTACCCTCTTAGCTGAAGAGCTATTGGCAGTTTATGGTTGCTGGGTGAAGGAGACTTAGTTTTCTTCAGTAGTATAGGTAGGCAGGTTGCCCATTCTCCAGTGGATGTCTTCCTACACTTATGCGCATAGAGGACACACAAAGTAGGCTCAGTGGGTTAGGAAGAAGGAGGAGAAAGAAGAGGGGAGAAGGGGGAAAGAGGAGAGGAAATTGCACGGGGGATGAGAGGTTATCCAGAGGTTACAGAGAGAAAGGAAGGAGTAGATATGACCTAGATACATTGTGTTCGTGTATGAAATTAGCACCTAATGATAATTTTTAAAAACGAAAGTAAAAAGTCCTATGCAAGCTGCCTTATTTTTCTTCCTTTTTTAAATTTAAGTTAGAAACAAGCTATCTTATTTTCATTGGATCCATGGTATACAGAGCCTGGTGTAGAAGAAGCTTTCAAAAATAGTTGTAGAATTCATAAGCAATTGACTGGATGGATCATTTCTAGATGGAGAAACTCAGATTGAGGAAGAGAAAAGATGTGTGATAAAGGGGTTAGAAGCAAGAGCTTGGAAAAGAGTCCCAGGTCTCAGGTTCAGCTCACACTGAGAACCCAGACAACTCTAAAGGTGATCCTGAGAAAACTCCTTGACATGCCTGAATCTCAGTTTCCTTTGTCATGCAGAGTCAATGACAATAACATCTGCCTCACAGAGCTGATATGATGCATAGAGAAGATTTTACACAAGGCCCTGCTAAAGTGATCAATAAAAACCCCACCATAACTCATTAGGATTAGAAGAATGTCACAGTGGGAAAGGAAGTATGACGAAGTCTCAATGCCCAGTTGTGGAGTCTGGGCTGTACACTGAGAGAAAACACGGCCATTTTCTAGGATGCAAGGGGTGTCAGGTGAGCTCCCTTAAAAAGCTGTCTTCAATGTTTTTTTAAGGATTAGGAAGAGTAGCAAAGCTCAGAGCATGAAAATTGGGAGGACAGAAAAGAGAGATCCTCCTGAGAGGCACTTAGGCAGAAATCTCGGGGTATTGAGAAAGAAGACTGTGTAGGGCTCTTACTACGTATTGTCAGATAAATGGAATGAACAAGCATCTGTGTGGTGGGTCACATTATGCATAATAGATGCAGCCTCTGTCCTGGTCAATGGGTTAAGAATGGGAATCTTTCAGCCAAAAGAAAACTGACGATATCTATTGAGAGACTCTTCACTTTTGAGAAGATAATGCTGCAGCGTTTGTTAATTTTGCATGGTCTGTCTTATAGATATCAGTGCCTGGAATTGTTGCGAGAGACATGTGGGAAGAAAGCTGACTGAGGAAAGATGGAGACAACTAAGAAGCTAAGAAAATGACAGAGCTTCAGGAGTTTTACACCCAGAGTCTGCTCCATTCTGGATGCCATGTGAGCCGATAGCATCAGCCTTTTAAAGCTCATTTGTGCTGAGGGTTTTATGTCTCCCCATTACCCAAAACATATTTGTGTAAGACTTTTTTTTAATTTTTAATTATGTGTATGTTGGTGGGGGACACGGGTGTATGCCAGGTGTGCAGGTTCCTGCCATTGCCAGAGGAGGGCACTGTACCCCTGGATTTGGCTTTACAGGAAGTTGTAAGTCACCCAGTGTGGTTGTTGGGAACTGAATCAGGTCCTCTAGAAGGACTCTTATCCAATGAGCCATATCATCAGTCTAAGATTGAAAGTTTTCTTTTCATTATTTATGTGTTGTATGTGCTTATGTTACATGTGTGTATGCTCTGTCAGTGTTGGAAGTGGGCATTGGATCCCCTAGAGCTACAATGTCCTCCAAAAGAGTAACAAGGGCTTAAACCCTGAACCATCTCTCCAATCCCCTAAATACCTTTACTGATGACATTGTTATTGATGAATGGATTAGGATGAGGGAATGGATGGATCTAATGTAGTTCTGCGGTGTTTTACTTTTGTAGTTGGGTGTGCGTGAAGCCCTTTGTTGAGATAAGCAACTGAGGAAAAGGTTAAGACTTAGGGAATGGGGACTACTTAGTGCTTAGTGCATCAAGGACAGCCTGGAACCCATTTATAGTCATCTGATGCACAGTGATCAATTTCTACGGTAGCCTATACACATCTTTACATATATGAGGTGGAGGTGGAAAACTTGCAGTGAGTGAATCCACCCAGGGAGAGATGGCCTAGTAAGCACACCAGGCCATGGGCCAACAGTATCGTTTTAGAAGATTTTTTGCAGTGTTAAATGCCAAGGAGATTCACCTAGCCCTAGGAAATGAGATCTAACTCACGTTTCCTTCCCTGAAGAATCTACTGTATGAACTATACATCCAAGTAGCCCCTGAAAAGGGTAATCAGACAAAGAAGCCAGTCAAGCTGAAGTCCCCCTCAACTGGGTTTAAAGAGTTGTGTTGGTTAATTTTTCTCGTGGCTCCCACAAAATACCTGACAAACAACTTAAGGGGCTATGAGTTTATCAGACTTACAGTTTGGGGGTCTGGGGTGGGGATACAGTCCACCATGGTGGAGAACCTAGGGTAACTGGAGACTGAACCAGCCAATCACATCGTATCCACAGCCAGGAAGCAGAGCGGTGAATGTGTTCAGCTGGTTTTCTTCATTTTTTTTAATGCAGTCCTGGACCTCAGCCAGAGAGAAATGTCACCCTCATTTAGAGTAGTTCTTCTCACCCCAATTAACCTCGTCTAGAAGATCCCTTGGGGGCCTGCCCAAAGATTTGTCTCCAAGGTGATTCAAGATCATGTCAAGTTGCCAATCTACGTAAACCAGCACAGATACAAATAAAGTGTGCCTATGACTAGCACAAAGACTATGTGCCTTTTTACCTTACAACCACCCTGTGAGGCAGATACTGTTATCATACCCAATTATCACAGGGGCCAAAGTAGACTTGCAGAGTTTAAACACCTATCCCAATCATACGGCTAACAAGTGACAACATCCACGTCTGCCCAACTTTAGAATCCTTTCTGTCTCCAGAGTGACACATAGGGTTTCCTTGGAAAATCATTTGTGTACATGCTTTACTTTCTTTGAATGTTGTCAGTGTGTCAGGTGCTATGACTCACTTTACAAATAAGGAGTTTCATAAGCAGCACAGCCTAGGGCATCAAAGGTGAAATTTGTTTAATATATTTCCTATGAGGAAAAGAGCACATCCATGAGTTCAATGTTAACTAGACCAGTGTTGGTTGACCCTATGTTTACGCTTGAATAATAGATGCCTGATCTTACCCACTACTTCTGAGTAGAGTGTAATTCTTACCCACTAAAGTTGGACTTGGCCACGTGTAAGATATATATATATATATATATATATATATATGAATACTAATGGACTTGAAAAACAAAGGCTTTAAATATCTTGAATTGCATTGCCTTTGCATGATTGACCTCTTGTCTCTTGCATTTCTGCCATTATTATTTTAATTTCTGCACAGGTGACCTGCTAATCCCAGGTGAAGAGGAAGGTAGATCAGAGATTTTCTGCCTGCCCTTTGACACAGAGATGGGTGGAAGCCACCTATAAAGACACAAGTGTGAGGATGAAAACATACTGTTTTATGAGACTATTCTAGAGAGCGTGTTATGGAGCAAGATCTGACTGACACAATTATTCTTAATAAAAATTTAATTGATGATTTTGATTTGTACACTAATTCAGCAACCACTTACATGGCAATTAATTGCTGGGCTTGTGATTAAACTTGTGAACATGACAACTTTGTCAAAGACTTCTCAGCATAGTGGAGACAGGGATTATTTTTAAGTAAAACTTTGTAGTTACATAGTGTTAGTACTCTGATGGAGTAAAAGGGGAGGACATGGGAACCACAGTGCTGTAGGGCTAAGGGAGATTCTAGTCAATACAGGATCTCTGCAAGAAATTCCATCTTATCTGGAGTAAGTGATGTTAGACAGCGTAGGAGGACGTGTGGGAGGGGGGTGAGTGGTGATGGAGGAACAAAGTAACAATGTGTTGTCCTAGGGCAGAGAGAGAGAGAATGAAGACTATGCGAGGTGATGGGTGCTTTCCAGTGAGAGGAGTGTTAACGAGAAAGGCTGAGAAGACGGGTGAGCCTAGTCACGTAAACACTTGCACACTTCCCTGATTAATTGGAACATCATTCTGAGAGAGCTAGAGGGCAGAACATTGTTTTAGTAAACTTTTTAAAAATTCATGTATTTTCCAATCCCAAACTCATAAATAGCTTGGTCTATGTAAATAACAGATTTTTCAAACATCTAGGGCAAAATAAAAAAAATTTTAAATACCCCTTCCAAAATCAACACACCCACTCTAACAATGCATGCCAGAGAATTTCTAATCAACCAGCTCCTAATGTTATGTTCCTGATGAGCACGCTCCAAGAGTCCTGTGGATAATTTGATGTTAGGGTGTGAGCACGTGCTTTTCTCGGCTCTATATTAGTTACTTGAGTTGTTGCTATGGGAAACGAAATCCTGCTCCAGAAATTGACAGTATTTACAGAAAGGTAGGCAATAGGAACAGAAAACAAATCTTTCATAACCTCATATTTCCCCTCGACTCCCTGCTCTGGAAGTCTTCCAAGACACTACCATCCTGTGAGCTTTTCTATGTGAAGAGTGTTACCCTATCGGCGTTGCCAATCTTCTTCAATTAATGCTTTCAATAGCGATGATTCATTAATTAAGGAGAATTGTCTTTTATTTTTCCTTAAGAGGAAACTAATGAGAGGGTAAGTATTGACAGGAAATGACTTTGTATTCATAGGATCCCAGATCCTGGCACATAGTAGGTTTTAAAATTTTTTTTCAAATATGGTTATTTTGCCTGCATGTATTCTTTGTACCATATATGTACCTTACCTGTGGAGAACAGAAGAGGCTGTCAGATTCCCTGAAGCTGCAGTTACAGATGGTGATGAGCCTGGATAATATTAATATAATATTAATTGCTTATAAAGATGATGATGATAATGTTGATGATCCTGGGATTAATATCTAGATCAAATTACCTTTTTCCTTCAAAGGCAGACAAGGAGGGGCCAAAGATAAGCTCTGTCTCTTCGTTCTTGAGAAACGACAAGGTCTTTTAAGGAGTTGATCTTAGATGATCAGAAGTTACTGATGGCATTCGTCCTGATGGCGGACTCCATTCAGTCCCCACAGGGCCTTCCAGACCTTCCCACTGAGCAGCCAGTGAGTCATACACCAGCTCACTTAGTGTTTGAGAGGTAACCAAAATATCCACCTATTGCACCTTGGTCTTACAAGCCAATGAGGAAGGTAGTGTTCAAACTCATCCTGGATAACAAGACTTCTGGAGGGATGCTCTCCAGCAAGCCTCATAGTAAATGCTTCCCTTCACTTCTGGTAAGGTCACAGGAAGGAAAGAGGAGTCACTGGTTCAGAGAAATCCCTGTCATGTCTAGTCTGTGAGTTTTCCTCAGGTGTGTGAGCTCTTTCACAATAAAGGAAATGAGGAAATGTCTCTAGTTTTATTTATAGTGTGACCTGTGTGCTTATTCATCCCGTTTAATTCAACTAAGAGACATTGCCTCAGCTACAGACAATGTCATCTGCCTTCCACTCATTGTGAGTGCCTTTGTGTGATGAAGGTAGGTCAATTCTGGACAACGATAGCCCCATGGGGTGTTTAATGACTCTCCCAACTGAGATCTAGAGTCCCTGAGAGCAGAATGGATGCTGAGAGAATCCCACCTGCATTTCCTCCTCCCTCTGTGCTCTTCCCTATTGTGGGATAACTCTTAGCATGGATAACAGCATTGGGCTAGTGACAAGGGGCAGGAAGAAGGGGGATGGAAAACAGTGAGTGCCTGCAGTGTGACCAACATGCTCCTAATTCACTCATGTGTGCTTCTCTAACAGATAAGATGTTACAGATGCACATTGTTATGGCCTGTTCTTCTTATTAAGAAATAACCACTGTCTATTAACTCCCTCAAGTTCACAGTTCCTCAAGCTGGGGGTAGGAGAAATCATACTGGGTTTTACTGACTCTCATAATGTAAAAAAATGGCCTGTGAGAGAAAGATGCCATTCAACAGAGCTTGGGTGGAGGGTTTATTTTTTTAAGTGGGGAAAGTGAATGGGAAAAGTGGGAAGGGGAGAGGGGAGACCAGCCTCTAGGGACAGGAGGGGCAGAAGAGAAGAGAGAAGTAGAGTGAGACAGAGAGACAGGCAGAGAAGCAGAGAGACAGAAAGCGAGAGAGAGAGAGAGAGAGAGAGAGAGAGAGAGAGAGAGAGAGAGGAAAATCAAGAGAGAGAGAGAGGTGGAGGGAGGTGGTTGGACCCTTTTAAAAGGGAACATAGTGAATGTGCACAGGTGGTGCTCTTAGTGGCTACAGCTGAGGACGTATCCTATCAGAACCCCAAGGGCAGTCCGGTACAGAAGCCTGAACACTAACAGTCATAGCTGGCTCACTGCAGAGCTGGTCCTATGGTCTAAAGAGAACCGCTCTCCCAAGCTCACAACTTTGGTGCTGGCTCATCCACACCTTCGCCAACAGGACTGGGTCTCTTGTGCTTCCCAAGCAAGGCGCAGGGCCCATTCTCCTGAGTGTTGCTGGTGAGGTGTAGGAACAACTCTTCCATTGTTATGACCTCAGGGCCAGCTCCCCCATCTTCCTGAGGCATTGGTGGGGACAGAGCGGGAATCTCTCCCCCACCCATGCCGTCATATGGCAGATAAGGGGTGGGGCCGGGTCTTCCATGCTCACGTTCTCCAGGTTGGCTCACCTGTGCCCTGGTCAACAGGGTCAGCCCTGCTGTACTGCCCAGACAGATACAGGGCCCGCTATCCTGAGTGTTGCAGCCGGCAAAGTGGTCAGCTTCCTCGCCAGCTGGTCATGGGAGGGACAAGGGGGAGGCCATGTTTCCCTTGTCCCCACCACCACACCTCAGGTGAAGGGGGCGGTTCAAGCTATGCCCCTCTCACTCCTCAGGGCTGGCTCATCTGTGACCCTGTCTATTCTACTATGCTGCCCAAGTAAGGCAGAAGGCCCATTCTCCTGAGTACTACTACTGGTGGGGGGTTGGGTCAAGTCCCCCACATGCTGAAGGTGTTGAGGGGTGAGGAGAAGAGGGCATCTTTTCCTCATCCATGTTATCACACATCAGGTGAGAGGGGCTTGACCTGCTCTCCCGCTCTCACACCCTCAGGGCCAGCTCACCCTTGCCCCTGTGAACAGGGTCAGCTCTATTGTACTGTAGAGGTGTGATGTAGATCCCTCTCGCCTGAGTGCTTCCGCTAGTGAGGGGTGGGTCCAACTCTGAACAGACATGGCCTCTCTGCCTACATCAGGGTCACAGGCCAAGTCATGTCCCTTGGCAGCAGTAGAGACTTGGACATCCGGCCCTAGGTGGCAATAGGACATCTGTGTCAGCCCATTCTTCACCTCCCTTACCTCTTCATATCTGCCTCTCTCCCATGCACATGACTCTATCTATCTATCTATCTATCTATCTATCTATCTATCTATCTATCTATCTTCTATCATTTTCTATCTATCTTCTATCAATCTATCTTCGATCAATCTATCTCTATTAATCTATTTATCTATCTATCTCTGTCTCCCATTTCACTATTGTGTAATCACTCCTAGTTGAGTCCTGCCCCTGACAGCCATATGGCATGGAGAGGTGTTTTTGCTATGTGGTGGCCTGGAACTAAAGCCCCTGGGCATCCCCTGGTTGAGTCCTGCCCCTGCCTGCTACATGGCGTGGCAGAGAGCTGTTCCTGTGTGGCGCCTCGGGGCTAGAGTACCCAGGAGGCTCTTAGTCCAGTGTTGTCCCTGCTAGCCACGTGGCATTGTGGGGAACTTGTTAATCACTTTACATACACAGTTATTATGGCCATGAAATCTACGTAAACGTTAACTCTATTGAAGCTTTGCTGTAACTGCTTTACCTATTTCTAACCATTAAAATAGGTCTATTGATCTACCATGGTGAAACAAGAGATCTCTCAATTTTTTTATTATACTTTGATGTGCATTGTCAATAGCAAAGGCTACTCGGGAGAAGGAAGAAGCCAAGGATGGGAGACTTGGAAGTGAGGACATTTACCTGACTTGGGATATTGTCAAGGAATGGGTGATACCAACAGTAGAGTTTCAGGGAATTTGTGTAGGAAGATAAACGTAATGGATCTGACCTGGCTACAGGAGATTCCAGGCAACTGGGGATCTGTATTCTGAGTAAGGATGGAAGCAAAATCATTTCACCTGGTAGGGAACAGAAGAAACAAGAGGACAAAGAGCAGTGGATGGCCAATGACCAAGTTGGAAACTCAGTCACAGTGTTCAAGCATCCCAGCTCTGCTGCAGGAACCTTGGGTTAAGAGAAATTCAATAGCTCAGCCTGAGGCGACTTGTCTGATTCTGTGGAACCCATCCATCATAGGGTGAGGATCACTTCTATGCTTAAACACCCTTTATTACATATTGACACAAGAAGCACTCAGGATAGCAACTGGCAAGGACAGATGTTAGCTAGCTATGAAGAGGGGAGAGAGGGGAGAGGACATGATGCCTAGATGACTCACCAGATCTGAGCATCAGCACCTGGAGCATTGTTCTGGGCTGTGCGGCCCACCTGTCTAGCAGCACCTTCACTTTGGCAATAAGTCCAGTGACGTCACACATGTTATAAACCAAGTAATCTGCTCATCTCCCTGGTTCAGAAAGGAGGCTATGATGCGGTGGCCAAGAAGCTTTCTTTCATCGAGGCATGATCCAGGCTTAAGAATAGGAGACCCCAGTGTTTCCTTTGAGCTTCTAAACTGACCCAGGAGACCTTGAGCCTGAAACAGCTTACACAGCACTCATCTTAGAAGGAACCCTTTCCTTTTTTCTGCCATTGAACTCATCAGTAATACAACATAGAAGGAAAACTGTGGGTAGCAAAGACTTGAATAGACAGCACAGTCCTACCACTCATTGTGTGTGTGTGTGTGTGTGTGACTCTGACAGTTGGTCTCTGCATGCCCTTATCTGCAAGGTATCACAATGACATCTGTATCCCATGCATGAAGATTACCAAAATGACACCACCCGTGTTCACTGAGCTCAGACAGGACCTGTAAATCGACAGGTGACTAGCCCACACCAAGGCAGTAAAGCTGAAGATACTGTCCTTACTGTCCACTGTAGCTCTCTCATGGAGTCAGCCGCAAGGCTTGGGTGAAGCTCAGCGGTTAAGGCAGTGGGAAAGGGAGCAGCAGGGCTGGAGCCATTACCTGTGTAAGATTCTGACCCTTCTTCATCTCTGTGTTCCCACAGCAACGGGCACCAATGCCTTCACCTATGGCCTCAGCAGGATCTGACCATACTCCACACTCTCCAGTGGAGAAGGAGCGTCCCTTGATCAACTCAGCTTTCTGAGCTTAGCATCTCCTTCCTCTTTGACTTGGGCCAATTGTCTCACCCTGTTAAGTGGTTGCCAGTATGCCTGTAAGTCTCTTATTGTTTACTAGAGTCAGTGGGAGAGCTTCTGCTAACCACGGACTCCTAGGTCCACCCCCCTGAGATTCCCAACCAGGAGGTCTAGAATGGGGCTTAGGAGTGAGCATCCCTACCTAGCTTCACAGACACTAATGTTCCTGGGCCATGGTCTAGGTTAAACAACACTGCCCAAGGCTAGTCTGCTGTAGGTGGTTTGGAGACCACTCTAGAAGGTGATCTCTGTAACTGTGTGCTGCTTAGTAGTGGCAATGACATTGGTATGCTTGCCTGTTCTACACACACACACACACACACACACACACACACACACACACACACACACACGATGTCACCACCACTCACACCAGCCCAATTGCTGACTCAAGCATGCTGGAAGAGCTTGCACAGTGAAAGAACTTTCTCTCATCTGAGCCCTTACCTTAGCATGTTTCCTCCAAAACCAGAGCCAAGCCCTGTGGCTGGTCTACTGTCTTCCTACTAGGATCCTTCCTGTGCTAACAAAGAACTATGAGGTTGAGATCTATAGAAGTTTATTCTCCTGCAGTTCTGACCACAAACATTTGGAAGTCAAGTGTCCACAGTGTTGTGTGCTCTCTGAAGGCTTTATGGGAGACTCCTTCCTGATCCCTTCTGGGCTTTCCATGGCTCTAGGGAATCTTCGCTGTCCCATAACTTGAGGTTAAGTCACTTCTGCCTCCATCTTCCCATAGCCTCTTTCTGTGGTGTCTGCATCCTCTTCTCTTCCCACAAGTGCATCAGCACATCTGTCCTTGGAGTAGGGTGCAGCTTCATCCGGTGTGTGCTCACCTTAGCTAAGACACCTGAAAAGACCCTATTTCCAGGTAAAGTCACAGCCCAGCATTTTAGTGGAACACAAACTTGGGTGGGGCGATGGAATATCATTCAAGGCCCTAGAGTCTTGGGAAGAAGAGCTGACCATTCCTTGTGATCAGCCAGGAGTCCTCTCATTATCACCCCCCCTCACCACCCCTGCTGCTCCGCTAAGTTTCTGACCTGGATCCTAAGGGTCTTGCTTTCTGTTTTACCTCTGTCCCTTCTACGCATCATCTTTTGACTCTTCGAATCCTTCCTTTGCCTCTACTGGAACGTCCCTGGAAGCAGGAGTCCAAAAATAGGAACATCAAGAGGATGACAGTGGGTCAAGGTACTCAGAGCTGAATGAAGAGAGAGCACATCTTCTTGGACTACACATGTTACCAGGAGATTTTGAAACATATCCAATTTTAATTAAAAGAAACACAGTTACGGCGAAGAAATAAATGTTCGAGTTCAATGGCTTCTTATGAATAAGTACAACGCACTTCAGATCCACTTAAACTCCTACCAAGCTACTTATGTTTCTTCTGCCCAAGGCTTCTCTTGCATGACCCTGGTCCTCTGATATGGCCCTGCCTACCCCTCTAGACTCCTGTCCCCCGTTTTACCCACCCAGCACTCTATGCTTCTGCAATCCCATGTTCCTTAAGAAGTCAACACTCTTCCATGCTTTTCTGCCCCTCTTCCGAGCCCTCCTGCTCCCAGGTACCTTTGATCCTCCCCCACTGACTGACACATCCCCACCCTTCTAGGCCTTCCCCTCGGTTCACCTCTCCCACTCTCTTCTCTGCATTGCAGGCGATACAATCAAGTTCCTCCATTGATCCCCTTCCATGTCAGCCTGTGGCCCTGGGCACCCCACTATTCCAGCATACGCTGATCGTCCTTTGCTACTATCCTGTCAACATTCCTTAAAGCCTGTGGACACTGTAAAGCATAAAACACACTGCCACCCCCCCATCTCTCAGGGGCCCTTATGCGGGCTTTGCTTTATAGTTCACTTGTCAAGTGGGTCAACGAATAAATAAGGACCCACTTTTACCATAAGACCCCTCTATTAATTTCCTGCAGTTCCCATAACACATTCTCACGACTGTAAGGGGCTCAAGACAACATAGACTTTATTGCCTTACTGTCCTTCAGAGAAAATGTGTGACACAGCTCTCGATGATGTGTCAGCAAGGTTGCCTCCCTTCTGAAAACTGCAGGAAGACCGGGTAAGTCTTTTCCAGGTTTCTTGATTCAGGGCCTTGGCCTCTGCTTTGAAAGTCACCTTCCCAGCGCATTCAAGTTTTCTCTCTCTGCTCAACTGACTTCCGCTTCCATTCATAAAGCCCCTTGATTGCAGTGGGAACACCTGGATAATACAGGACCCGTCACTCATCTTAATCATACCTGCAAGGTCCCTTCTGCCATGCAAGAAAATATTCACAGGTTTGGGGGCATCAAGATTTGGATATATCTTGTAGGGGGAAGACTTTGATCTCCCTCTTCTAACTCATGTAGCCCAGTGCTCTCTCCTGAGGCTCCCCAGCCAATGACATAAAGGCATCAGCCTCTCTTCCCCTGGGTAAAGAAGCCCCAACCATGTACAAAGCTGTCATACTGGCTGTGCTTCTGAGACCCACCCTGCGTCTGACTGTGTGGCGACCTCCTTCTCAGCCTCCCTAACTGTACAAATGAATGCGTCCCAGGAGAAGCCATTAAGCTGCTCACCAAATGTGCGAGTAAATGAGGTGCCAGCTCAAAATAGCTCTTCAGGTAGGAGAGTGAAATGTGTGGAGGCAGTATTCTGCTTGGAAGACTGGGGTTGGGAAATGAATTAGTGTGGCAGCTGTGCACTCCCAAGGAGGAGGGAAATGGAATGCGGGGAGGGACCTGGGAATGGCCTGGGTGCTTCGTGGCTTCTCACATGGCTGTCCAGGCAGAGAACACTCTCTTGAGAATGTACACTAGTACATTTGTATCTTGAATGTGACCCAAAGGCTCATGGGCTAAGGGTTTGGGTCCCTAACCCATGGTAATGGTGTCATGGAGCCCATAGGAGGATGGACCTTTCAGGAGACTAGCAGACATAAGTGATAATACTGAAGTGCTAACTTTGAAAGGGCTACCGGAATTTCACAACACACACACCTATATTCTCTCTCTCTCTCTCTCTCTCTCTCTCTCTCTCTCTCTCTCTCTCTCTCTCTCTCTCTGTCTCTGTCTCTGTCTCTGTCTCTCTCTCTCTCTATCTATCTATCTCTATCTCTGTCTCTCTCTCTGTCTCTCTGTCTCTCTGTCTCTGTGTCTCTCTGTCTCTGTGTCTCTCTGTCTCTGTCTCTGTGTCTCTCTGTCTCTGTCTCTGTCTCTGTCTCTGTCTCTCTCTCTCTCTCTGCTTCTTTGCCTCCATGAGGTTTCCAGTGTGGTGATACATTGTCTATGATCTAATAAACCTTGTCTGGAGATCAAAATGCAAAACTAGTCACAGCCATAGAGGCCAGGCAGTGGTGGCACACACATTTAACCCCAGGACTCAGGAGACTGACTGGACTTTGTGAGTTCAAGGCCACGCAGGGATAAGTGAGAGTGAATCAGTCTAAAAGAGAAACAGAACCCAAGCCTTTCTTTAACCCCAGCACTAGAGAGGTATATTAAACAGGAGCAGGGTCTCAGTGCTGATAATTAGCCCCCAGCCACATTGAGGACAGGGTTGGCCCAACCTTGGTAGAGGTGAGAGCTCTCTGGTGGCTTGGCTGCTTTACTTCTGGGATCTTCAGCTTGAGCCCCAATATCTGTCTCTGGGTGTATATTATTCGTGTTACGTATCAGCCCTCTCTTCACCATGAACTCCTGACATGATAATCTTTGCCTCTACAAGTCCAAGGCAACTGGTCAATTCTTGCTTTATTTTCCAAGATGTCCTGGACATCAGCCACACGGCAGGCTCTGAACTTGGAGTTTAGGAAGGTACCGGGTTCGAGGTCATGCAGGGATGATGAATGCTCACAATAGAACATGGGGGGGGGTGGAGGATGGAAGTTAACAGAGCTGAGGGGTCTGGAGAATAGGAATGCTGAAGCGGTGCTGAGGGCAGAAAGAGTATCTCCAAGTTCCAAGTTGGAGTGTTACTTCGACTGAAGGACTTGGAAACCGAGTCACTTGGCGTGAAGTCGTTCAGTGTTAGAATTCAAGAGCAGAGAAGGAAGCCAGGGGGAGCGTTGAGTTTTAAATGGTGCTCCCATTCATCAGCATAGCTCAGCTGAGATCCCCAGAATGTCCTCCAAAAATGTGTAAGACCCAAGAAGCCTATGTCACCTTGGAGACAGTGTGAAAGTTGATGTAAGGATTAGAGATGTCAGAAGGACAAGGGTCACACTGTGTAGTTGCAGCTCTTACCTCACCATCATGGGGGACTCACCCATACTGTTCTTGAGACACAGGGACTTTCCATGGCCTTTGCTCTCATCCTGGGGTTGACTTATGACAGTCCCCTTTCTCAAAGAGATGATAGGAAGCCATGTTGCAAAACAGGCCATCTTCCATGTGCTCTCCTGTGCCCTTCAGAGCATCTTCCCTTGCTATCAAAATGGGGCAATGTCTGACTTCTCCACTGTGGAGGCAATACTGTCTGGGGACCCCAAAACAGATGCTGAATGAATGAGTAAATGAGTTCTGTGTCTGCCTAGGCCATTTTTTAAAAATGCTTTCTCTCGTTGGTAAGAAGTGTCAGTCAAACAAACGTCTTTAAATCAGATATATGGAACACATGGTTAAAATGAAAGCTGATACCTAGGGCCTGTGAGGCCAACGACAGTCAGAGACCAGAGGCCTTAGAATGTGAGGTGGCAACACCCCGTGTGAATCCTGACCTCTGTCCCAAGACCAGGACAACAGGCTTGTTGAGAACAGACAGCAAGAGAAACCAGCATTCAGGGCTTGAAGAATACATACTGGAGCATATTTGTTTTTCTCTTCTTATTCGTTTCTTGCTTCTACTACAACTCTCCTTCTCCGAGACAAAGGAAGCCCTGGTGCTTTTACAGCCCCTCCTTGTCTTTGTCTTCCTGTTTCTATCCATTTTCTTTGGGGGAGATGTTGGGGGGGGATAAGAGGTAGAAGCCTTGACTCTAATTCGAGGGGCATTTTTCTTGGCATCCAGAACAAGAATTTTCCTAGGTCCCTGGCTGCTCTGACTAAATGGATGCTGGGAAGCTATTTTGAGAT